AAAAATATGTACTTTTTTCTGGTGCACCTGAGACATCTGAGTCATTATCTATACCTAATGTTTTAAATACACAATCGGTAACAAGGTAATAAGGTCAACTTGAAATAATATAAATAATAGTTAGAAAATAATAACGTGTAGTTTTTTTATATGGAGTTTACCGTTGGTAGCCACTGTAGGTTGTTTGTATTCAGGATCCAGGTCTGAATCATACATGGCACTATTGGACTCTTCATTTTTATCAACGTTAACATTTATTACATTAGACATTTTACCTAATATTATTTAAAAAATAATTAAAACATTGTAATTATTTGAATTGATAGGTTACATATAGGTACTTTTTTCTGTCATAGGTAGTATTTATATTTGTATTAGTAATTAATAATTATTTGCAATAACAATAACTTTGGTATAGGTACACTGGAGACTCACTTATATATATAATTATACATGTAAATTGTATAGGATATATATGTGCAAACACCAGGTTATGATTATAAGGTCAGGCATATTATTAAGCTCGGGAAGAAAATTAGGATATAAAAGCTAATTGACCTTCTTTTCAGAGTATTTTTTTAAATAATAATTTGGACTTAAAAAGTTTTAATCAATCAAATTTAGGACTTAGGACTAATTATTTAGGACATTTAATATTTTTGTTGATTGAATCAACAATCTCATACTATTATTACAGTTAAAATTTTAACGATAGTTGAATATTTTAAAATAAAAATTTATAATAGTGAAATAATATGATTGTTGCTGATTTATTTATAATACCTTATTACTATCTTATCTCTTCAATCATACCTGTATGTGGGATCTGTACAACTTTATTTTATTGTTATTAATGTTTAAAAATTAAAAAATGTATAATATATACCTACATGTCCTACATTATTAAATTTTTATCTTAGTTGATTATTTTAATGATTATCTTACTTGAATTTAAAGTAGGTGGACTTGGTAGTGTAGCATTTACCATTCCTAATTTTTTTTTACCATTATCTTCATTGGCTGATAAATCAGACAACAAAGTAGCTTTTCTACATTTAGCTCGTGCTTCTTCCAAGCTTCCTATAGGTACCGATTTTTGAATTTTTTTAAATAAAGTTTACCAAAATACCAATACAACACATAATATTATGTTATATTAATTATCAACCTATATTTAAGATTTCAATTTCAAGCTTAAATCTATTATATTACCTACCATATTTTTTTCCTAAGGTCCTTGCTGGTAACCATTTAAAATCTAATTTATTAGGGTAGCCTCTTTTTTCAATTAATCTTTTGACAGATTTCTTGGATATTGGCCATGCGCATAAATGTTCTTTTCGTTTGTACCAGGTTTCTGGTACAGCTTCCACAGAGTCTTCATTCAAATAATGAACTACTATCCACATAGTTAAATGTAGGCTCTACTAGTTAGGTATAAATAAATATTTATTTGTAATCAAATCATAATTAATTAATAGTATATAAAACAACATATTTATTTAAAAATAATAAAAATATTACTTAATATTATTATTTACCTTAATGCTACATTTCTTAGTTTAATAATTATCAATTCAAAATTACTTTCCAAGTACTTAATATAATAATATGGCAGATAAAATAAATTTTTTTAAATTTAATTGTTAAATTATTATAACTACTATAGTCTTCATTATTAATGTTTATAACATATTATAYTATATTTAACGTATCTTTTTAATGTTATAATTATGTACAGTTAGGTAGGTAATATTTTATTTATTTATTTTATATCATAGAAAATAATACTGATGCCTAGAATATAACTAATGAACAAACAATATTTAAAAATTTGAATATTAAAAATAAAGCTAAAATTCAAGTATGATGATTAGGGCTCGGATTTTAAAGCAAATGCTTCTATTTATATATTTAAGATAGAAATCTAATTTTTATACATAAATTCGTTTCACGTTAATCTGATTCGAAATAAACGAATTTTTTTTTGCTTTTTTTTGCTTTTTTTAGTATAAATGCTTTTTTTGCTTTTTTATTGCTTTTTTCAGTTATTCAAGCTGTGGAATTTTTATTTGTTGTTATGCTATGAAAATAAAATAAAAGTGTTTATTTACTTAATAAGAAATRTGAAAACCCGCAATAATGACCGTGACCGTACCATTAGTGCGAAACGTCATTAAATGTAATGATTGAAATGTATAGATTATCGATCTACAGATAGCTTATGGGTCCGATAGCTTATGGGTCCGATAGCTTATCGAATATTGCATATAGTTTGTAGAACCTACGCTCAGTACTCGTATAACATCGATCTAGACGTGTTTAAAATTTAAGTTTTATAGTGATTTAYAGTGTTGTAATTTATTAAAATGCCAAAAGTCAAAACGAATGCATTTTTAAAACAATTAGTGTTAGAATTTGGTGAAGAAATTTTTCAAACAGATGGATCGATTTTATATTGCAAACTTTGTGAAACAAAAGTGTCACATGAAAAAAAATATAATATACAACAGCATGTACGGAGAGAAAAACATGTCCAAGCTGTTAAAAGACACGAAAATGAAAAGTCTGCATTACTTCAACCATTTTTACAACAGTTTAGTAGTCAATCAGATTTTAATGCCGATTTATGTTCAACATTGGTAGCTGCAAATATTCCAATGAATAAACTAAATAATAAACATTTTCGTGAATTTTTAACAAAATATTGCAAAAAAACTATTCCTGACGAGTCGATATTATGTAAAGGATATTTAAATTCATGCTATGAAAATACATTGGTGAAAATTCGTGATACAATAACAGACCAAAAAATATGGGTGTCTATTGATGAAACTACGGACTCTGTACGTCGTAATGTT